CCAAGAAAGAACCCCTGTTATCAGTTGGTTTATTTCCTTCAACCTCATGATTGAGTTAGGATTCTTTATATTCTTCGTTTTATTTCTTCCCATTTATCATTCGGCTTAACTAAGAAAGCATGCTATGGTTATAGATACGGCCTACTAGTTGGAATTCACTGACCTGTTCCCCATCCTCTACCCAATGAAACCCTGAAACTCTCTATCCTTTTGCCAAAGGAGAGGAGGACCTAGAGCTTTACCCAGCCTGCTTCTACCTCTCTTTTGATCAGCCATGATAGCAGTTAGGCTCTGTTTTGGACCTTTTATCATGGCTGAAGAACAAAATTTGTATAGTCTAACTTAGGCAGATTCCAGAGCCCTTGTTATGCTGTAATTCTTGCTTGCGTTCAGAAAAGTACCAAAACAAAGACTTTGAAACCCTCCAACCCAATAGTTCCTTCTTTAGCCTAAACTTTAGCTTTGAATTAGGCCCAGGCCTAATTCCCAAGTTATTTTGACAGAATGGAATCTTCTTTCTTAAACTGTCTAAAGAAGGGTTTCAGTTTAGAGTTTCACAGTGTGTAGGCCAGGAATTTTTTAAACCAGGGGTCAGCAAACTTCCTGTAAAGGGTTTGATAGTAAATATTTAAAGCTTTGCAGGCCCTGTGGTCTCTGTCACACTACTCAACGCTGCCATTGTAGAGCAAAAAAGAGGCAATGTGTAAATGAATGAGTGTGGCTGTGTTCCAATAAAACATTATTTAAACTATGGCTGCAGGCCATAGTTTGCCACACTTCTTTTTTTTTTTTTTCCTGGCTTGAGGAAGATTAGCCCTGAGCTAACATCTGTGCCAGTCTTCCTCTATTTTGTATGTGGGATGCCTTCACAGCATGGCTGGTGAGTGGAGTAGTTCCGTGCCTGGGATCCTAACCCACAAACCAGGGCCACTGAAGCGGTGCATGTGAAATTTTAACCACTCAGCCATGGGGCCAGCCCCATGCCACACATTTTAAGCCATGAATCTCTAAAGTATTGTATGATGGCACACTCGTCCGTTTGAGGAAGACGTTAAATATTTACTTTAGATCACACACAACAGGAAATCATATATCTATTAAGTGTTTAAACAAAAATGGAAGCTATAAAAATATTCTGAATGATACAAAATACATCGACTGTGAAAGAACAGATTGACAGATTTGACTGCATAAAGATTAAGATCACAAAGCACACCATAAATAAAGATGAATGACAAACTGGAAAAAAAATAGTTGCGATCTATATAACTAGCAATTACTGTGGTTTCTATACACCAATAAAATTAATAACTCAAAAGAAAAAAGGACAAAATATATAAATTCACAAGAAAAGATATATATAATGGTCAGTAAACAGGAAAAGATGCTCATTCTTACTAATAATGAAATCTCTGTATTAAAGGGAATGTTTTTGCCTGCCAAATTTATAAATGTGAATAATTAGTAATACTTAAAATACTCAGTGCATTGGGGAACATGAGGAAATAAACAACTGGAGATGGTTGTGATATCGTACATTAGTTCTATATTATTATGCAACGAATTACCCACAACTTAGCTGCTGAAAACAACAAACACTTATTATCTCACAATTTCTGTGGGTCAGGAATCAGGATGGTTTTGGCTCAGAGTTTCACGAGGTTGTAGTCGAGCTGTCAGCCAGTGCTGCAGTCACTGTGGCTTGACAGTCTACTTCCAGGATCACTCATGTTGAGTGGTGGCAGGCCCCAGTTCCTTCTTGCCTGCTGGCCAGAGATAGCAGGTCCTCTCACCATGGGCTCCTTGAGCTCCCGTACATACAACACGGCAGCTAGTTTTCGCCTGTGATCCAAGAGACGCAGCAACCAAGACAGACAAGCATGGCGTATTCTATAATCTAATCCTGGAAGTGACATACCTTCACTTCTGCCACATGTTATTGGTCACACAGACTAATTAATCCTGGTACAATATGAGAAGCAATGACACAACACACTGAATAGCAGGAGGCGGAGATCCTTAGCAACCACCTTGGAGGCTGGCTACCACATAGCTGTATTGGGACTGTATGCCTAAGACCTTATTTCTGTCTGTCAGCTGGGTTCTACAGTTCTCTACATTGTGTCTGCTGCTGCTAGAATGTCCTAAATGGCTTTTTCCTCAAATGTCTGGTGGCTCCTGGGGGCCCGCTGGACATCTCTCACTCTACATGGCTAGCTTGGGCTTCCTTTCAACATTGTGGTTTCAGGTTAGTCATACTTCTTACATGGCAGCCGGCTTCCCCCAGAGTGAGCATCTTAGGAGATGTAGGCAGAAGTTGCAAAGCTTCTTATTACCTAGCCTAGAATTATTTCCATTTTCTGTTGTCAAAATATGTCACAGGACCGGCCCAGATTCAAGGACATGATTACCAGGAGGTATGACTTACTGTGAAGGTCTGTCTTTGGAACCTATCCCAGAAAGTTATGCTTAGGAGAGATGAGACTTGTTCTAAAGTGGTAGCAGTGAAGGTAATACAAATTGGTCTGATTCTAGATATATTTTGAAGATAAAATTGACGGGATTTGCCTATGAATTGGTTATATAGTATGTGGGAGAAACAGAAGTTAAGGATGAATCTGAAGTTTTTGAGCTGAAAAATTTGAAAAATAGAGATGGCATTTACTCAGATAGGAAACACTGAAAGGCAACAGGTTTGGAGACGAAAATCAGGATTGGTTAAAATATTGGGCAACTGTATAAGAGAATGCATATAAAGATACAGCCATTAAAGGGAGATCTACAAATTGATCTGTATGTGCAGAAGTAGAAACACTACCTATGGTATTAATTGCAAGGTACAGTAAATAAAATATGATTCCTTTTATGAAGAAAGAATATATATATTTTTAAAATTTATTTATTTTATTTTTGAGGAAGATTAGCCCTGAGCAAACATCTGCTGCCAATTCTCCTCTTTTTGCTGAGGAAGAGTGGCCCTGAGCTCACATCCGTGCCCATTTTCCTCTACTTTATATGTGGGACGCCTGCCACAGCATGGCTGGACAAGCGGTACATATGTCTGAAGCCAGGATCAGAACCAGCGAACCCCAGGCTGCTGAAGCAGAACATGCGAACTTAACTGCTGCACCACCGGGCTGGCCCCAAGAAACAATATAATTTTTTAATGTGTGCGTTATTATACATAATTCAGAGAAGTTCTAAGCTGTCTTTCTAGGGCTATATTGAATTCGGATTTTATTCCATAGGCAAAGGGAACTCTTTGAAGGTTTTTGTCAGCAGAGTGATATATATGATCATAATTATGCTTTGGGAAGACGCATTTAACACTGTAAAAAATGGAAGAACAGTGGGGAGCCAGGAACTGAACTCTATGAAAGCATACCAAGCTATATTTAAATTCTCTGAAATAAGTCTGTGGAGGTCCGAGACAATGTTACTTTCCTGGTTTTATTCATAGCTTCTAGCCTAGAGCAAGCCATGTGAAAAGGGTTTGATAAATGGTGAATGGATGAATACAGCATCATCACCAGTTTAGGTTATATGAGAAAAGGCTAGTGTGAATTTGTAAAATATCTCAATTATACATTTTTTTCATTGATTTTATTATGTTCAAAGGTTACAGAAAATAGTTTGGCATTAACAGGTAGTAGACCTATGGAGATCTGATTTAGTTAGCAGACTAAAAGCATATCAGATATCGTGTTATTTTCTTTGATGCTCTATTTGACTTTTTTTTTAAGCATTTACAACAATTAGGGTTATTTTAATTCATCTACCTATATACATTCTTTTAAGGCTCCATTTTCTCAACAACAAAAAGTCCTTAGAATGGTAATGAAAGGTTCTAATCATATAAGGTGTATTGTTCAAGATGATTAAAACACTCAAATAAGAATTTCAAGAAGAACTTTTTTAGAGGAAGATACTGTTAAGTTGTCACTGGGCCGAAGACCATACTTCCCTACTCCCCTAAAGAGAGAGGTTTTGGGCTTTGTTTCAAAAACATGACATAAACAAAGATAAAAGACAAATGACACTAAAAGAAAAATGACATTCTAAAATAATTAATGATGGACTTTTTTTTTTTAAGATTTTTTTATTTTTTTTTCCTTTTTCTCCCCAAAGCCCCCCAGTACATAGTTATATATTCTTCGTTGTGGGTCCTTCTAGTTGTGGCATGTGGGATGCTGCCTCAGCGTGGCCTGATGAGCAGTGCCATGTCCGTGCCCAGGATTCGAACCAACGAAACACTGGGCCACCTGCAGCGGACCACGTGAACTTAACCACTCAGCCACGGGGCCAGCCCCCCTCTTTTTTTTGTTTTTTTGAGGAAGATTAGCCTTGAGCTAACATCTGCTGCCAATCCTCCTCATTTTGCTGGGGAAGACTGGCTGTGAGCTAACATCCATGCCCATCTTCCTCTACTTTATATGTGGGACACTTGTGACAGCATGGCTTGCCAAGCAGTGCGTAGGACCAAACCCAGGATCCAAACCGGTGAGCCCCGGGCCACCAAAGCAGTACGTGTTAACTTAACTGGTGTGCCACCAGCCCAGCCCTAATGATGAACTTTTTTTTTAAAGATTTTATTTTTCCTTTTTCTCCCCAAAGCACCCCCAGTACATAGTTGTATATGTTTAGTTGTGAGTCCTTGTTGTGGCATGTGGGATGCTGCCTCAGCATGGCTTGATGAGCGGTGCCATGTCCACGCCCAGGACCTGAACCAGTGAAACCCTGGGCTTCCGAAGCAGAACGCACGAACTTAACCACTCAGCCACCGGGCTGGCCCCCCAAGTGATAGACTTTTTAAGGAAGAGCTTTTGTCTCTTTGGATTTTTATTTTGGTCAAACAATTTTTTAAAAATATAGATATCAAATGTATTTGGCTTACAAATTTCAATGGGGGGCAAAAGTTTATTGTTGATTTCATAATTTATTTGTCATACTGGTTTTAATAAATTGAGAGATATTTGCTAAACTGTCTTGTTTTTTTCCAGGGGCTACACTAAGTATGAGACCAGCCCCCATTCCAATAGAGGACCCGGAATGGAGACAAACACCTCCCCCAGTCTCAGCCACATCTGGCACCTTCCGATTACGACGAGGGAGTCGATTTACCTGGAGAAAGGAGTGCCTAGCTGTCATGGAAAGGTACATGTCTCCTTTTCCTGTGGGCAATCTCCCAAATTTAGGAAAGAGAGAATCTTTGGATAGATTTGGAAAGTTTTCATTTCAAACAAGTAATTTGGGATCCGAGTTCTATCTCTAAAAGTGTTTTGGAGTATTATAAATGGTGTATTGTTGAAATAAGATGATCTTACCATTGAGAATTCATGAAACTGGAGTTAGTATCTATCAATATAATTTAATGATGTCCTCAGTAATTTAAGAAACTTGAGAATTTTGAGTTTAGATCTTTGTATTATATTTTGGAAAATCTCTTTGAAGTCTTATTTTCATCAAAAATATTGAATAATTGTATAGGAGGCCACTGAGATTTAACTTTCTTCAATAAGAAGTATGGCCTAAATGAGCTTAGTCCCAAAGGTTAGAAACACTTGTTTTTGACTTTGATTTTGGTAATTTATTCTCTGACTCTAGCACCTTTACCTGATCCATAGTAGGTACTCAGTACTTTTTAAACTTGAATTCTTGCTTAGCTTCAGTTTTCCCATCTGAAATGGCATAAATTAATTAAAATGATTATGGAATGTTGAGTGTATTTAAGGTGGGTCCTGTAATAGAATTATCATTTTAGTCTCCTACCTATGAGTAATGTTTATAGAATTTTATTTTGATGGAGTTTTATATGCAATAAGATAATAATTTTCTATTAGAAAAGTACTTGTTTCCTCAGATTAAATATAGAGAAAAAGAATATGTTAGGCAGAGGTAAAAACAATTGAAGTTTCATATTGAGTGTTCTCAGTAATTTAAATAATAGAAAAGAATGGAATTGAATGTTTAAAACTAGGTTTAACTTCTAAGCTGATCTAGAATACATATTTACATTGAGCCAGCTTCACATTCTTTTTTCTTCAGTTATCTAATCTGACCAAACAATTGGCATACTGAAAAGAACATTTGACTCAGAGTCAGAAGACCTGAAACCTGGTTTTGGCTTTTCCATCAACCAGCCGGGTAACTTTGTTCAGGTCGCAAACTCTCAGCTGTAACTTCCTTATCTATAAAATGAAATTCTTCAATAGCCAATGTGAATTAAATGTCATCTAGGACTTTTCCGTCTCTCTTCTGCCTATTTCCTGATTATTTCTCAACTCGTTAACATCACTACCTGAAGGATGATTTAAAATGTTGAAGTTAAAGCCATGTTTTTGTTCTTGTGATCAAGTTGAAATGAAAAGATTTGCTTAAGGGGAGGGTGTGATCCTGTAGCCAAAATGAGACTATAGCTTGTCTATTGATGTTATCGTCTGTTTCTTTCCTCACTCTCTTTAATATAGATAAGAGTAGAGGCCATTTATTGAATAACAATTCCTTATATGCTTGAGTGGTTAAAGTGAAAGAGACTTGGGCTGGCCCGGTGGCGCAGTGGTTAAGTTCGCAAGTTCCGCTTTGGCGGCCCGGGGTTCACCAATTTGGATCCTGGGTGAGGACATAGCACTGTTTGTCAAGGCATACTGTGGCAGGCGTCCCACATACAAAATAGAGGAAGATGGGCACAGATGTTGGCTCAGGGCCAGTCTTCCTCAGCAAAAAGAGGAGGATTGGCAGCAGTTAGCTCAGGGCTGATCTTCCTCAAAAAAAAAAAAAAAAGTGAAAGAGACTTTATTATCCTAAAGATCTGACATTTACAGTCTGCTCTGTTTTTCTCATTTAGAAATTTTGATTATTTAAAGAAATTTCTTCAGAACTTACCATGTAACAGATGTGAATTAAATAATATCTAACTTAAATTATTTGTACTATCGTACATTTTCCTCTGGGTTACAAAATAAGCTTTGGTATTGGTTTCTTGTTGGTGTAAGTTCTAATTGTGCTACTGACTCAGCCATTTAATTTTTTTCGTGAAAATACCAGTATACATGTATCACATAGTGTCAGTGTGGAGAAGGATTAATTTAAAATTGATAACATTAATAATGATAGGTGATAGTCCTAACGCATTTTCAAAACTTAACCTGGAAGGGTTTGCAATTCTTTCTCTTTTTCTCCAGGGTATTAAGAACTAGCCACAGAATCACACTGATTAAATTTCAGTTAAAAAGATATTGATCACTTACCTTGTGTAAGGCTCTCATTTAATCTTAATTTTTACTTTTTAACCTTAATATTAATTGTCTTTAATCCAGAAATTGGTTATCTTTGGTTTAATTTTATCTTACCTGTCACAACGAGTAAGAAAGTATATGATTTATTCCAATAGTTGCAAAAATGCAAAAAGCCTTTCAAAGTATTTAATAGCAATAGTACAGAAGGTCACGGTATAATTTCATTCTCTGAAAATGGAACTTTTTATTTTGTAACATAGAATATAAAATTCCCTAGCCTCAGAGCAATGCATGATGTTTTTTCCTAGACTGATGGTGTGAATAAATATATATGCACAGACTATAAAGCCAGCAAACTACTAGCCTTACTCAAATATATTAGTATAAATCAAAAATTATTCCTTTCTTCACACCATACTCCAAGATAAATTTCAAGTGAATCAAAAAAGTGAATCCATATGAATAATAGAAGAAAACATTGGTGATTCCTCCATTTCCTGGAAATGGTGAAATTTTCCCTAACTATGACTAAAATCCAAAAGCAATAAGGGAAAGGATTGACAAATATGATTACATAAATTAAAAGAAAGCCTTGATGAGAAAAAATTGTGAGCAAAGTAAAAAACAGAAGAAAAATGGGGAAAAGTATTTGCCACTTATTATCCCTGATATAAAAAGAACTTTTAAAAGAGAAGACCAACAACTCTATCGAGAAATGGACTAAAGAGATCAACAGAAAAACAATGCAAATGGCCATTAAGCATATGAAACAATGTTCAATTTAACTCATAGTAAGAGAAATTAAAATTAAAATTACAGTTAACCGTTCTTCTCCTATTACATTGGCAAAAATCCAAAAGTTCCACAACATTTTCTTTTGATTCAGCTGTAGAGAAATGAGCAGTCTCATATGTTGCTTGTGAGAATGCAACATAGAATAATTTCCATGGGGAGGAATTTGACAACATCAGGGAAAACTACCTATGAGTTTGCCCTTTGACTCAACATTCCCACTTCTAGAAAATTATCCCAAAGGTACACTGGCAAAAATATGAAAAGATAACAGCCCTGTTTGTGATAATATCAAAATACGAATATAACTGATGTATCTATTGGTAGTGAACTGGGTCAATAAATTATAGTACATCCATATGTTGAATGTTCAGGCTCACACAATGGAGTGCTATGCAGCTGAAAAAAGGAATAAATCTTCATTTTCACAGAATGAAAATCATATTGTGACCTTCTGGACTATTACTATTAAATATTTTGGAAGACTTATTTGCATGTTTGTAACTTTTGGAATGAATACTTCACTTCTGTATACAGTGATCTCCAGGATATAATGTTAAAAAAAAAAGGCAGAGTCAATTATATATAGTAGCTGTAATTTATGTCTTTGCTTGTAACTTGTTTTAAAATGAAAGAGTAAACCATAAAATAAATAAATGGTTACCAATAGGAGAACAGAATAAAACAGATTGGAGGGGCCGAGGATAGAAGCAGACTTCTCAATATCCGTACCTTGTTTTGACATTGTATCCATGTAAATATTTTATGCACTTATAAAACAAAATTAAATTGAAATGGGGGGAGAGGTGATCCTTAAAAAATAACTAAAATGAAACAAACCTATTGTGTATAAGTTGTGACTTAAATTCTTGGGAACTATATCAAATAGCTTTATAACACAATATTTTCACTATGCTTTCCTGGTGGGATCCTGCTTAGGAATAAAAAGAACTACAAAAGAAATCTTACACTATTTTTACTAAATTTGGTGAAATTAATATTGTTTTCAGGTACTATTTTTATTTGTATAGATACAGATATAGATATAGATAAAACAAGTAATCATATTAATGTTATTAGGAACCAAGGTTTTCAGTGTAAAAGAGATATAAACATAAAATGAAAAGAAATTAAGTAAAACACTATAATCTTGTTTATGTGTGTACATAAAGATAGAAATTTATCTTGAATTTGTTCTTTTAATAACAACCTTACTGAGATACAATTTACCTATTTAAAGTGTACAATTCAGTGCTTTTTAGTGTATTTACAGTTATGCAACCATCACCACAATCAATTTTACCATTTTACCAATTTTGGAACATTGTCTTTTCCTCCAAAACCCTTGCACCATGTAGCAGTTACCCCTTTTTTGCCCTCATCTCCCTCCAACCCTAGATAACCATTAATCTACTTTTATATACAGATTTGCCTGTTCTGGACATTTCATATGAATGGATTCGTACAACATCTGACCTTTTGTGACTCACTTCTTTCTCTTAGCATAATGTTTTCAAGGTCTATCCATATTGTAGCATATACCAGTATTTCATTCCTTTTTATTGCTAAATAATATTCCTTTGTATGGATATGCCATATTATATTTATTCGTTCATCAGCTGATGGACATTTGAGGTTGTTTCCAGTTTTTAGCTATTATGAATAATGCTGCCATGAACAAAATTTGTGTACTAGTGGAATTCCTGGGTCATATGGTAACTGTGTTCAACCTTTTGAGGAACTGCCAGACTGATGCAACATTTTACATCCACCCAGCACTGTATGATGGTTTCAGTAACTAACCAACACTTGTTATCTGTCTCCTAGTGTGAAGTAGAATCTCATTGTGGTCTTGGTTTGCATTTCCCTGACCAATGATGTTGAGTATCTTTTCATATACTTATTCGCTATTTGTATATCTTCTTTGCAGAAATGTCTGTCCAGATCCTTTGCCCATTTTTTAAATTGGATTGTCTTTTTATATTGAATTGTAAGATTTCTTTATGTGTTTTAGGTATAAGTCTCTTATCACGTGTATGGTTTGCAAATACTTTCTCCCATGTTATGGGTGGTCTTTTCACATCTTGATGATGACCTTTGTAGCACACAAGTTTAATTTTGATGAAG